AAATTAAATGTATATTTTACCATTTTAAATAAATTATGGCAAAATAATTCTTGTTGCCGAAAAATTTGATGCTTACGAAACTTCTAATAGTGTTTCACTATTAATAATAGATTAATAAATATGCATTAATTAATTAATATACATTGATTAATGTATTATTAATAATATAATGTGTTGCCTTACTACTGCGCGCTAAGTAATTAACAAACATTTTGATATAATTAATTTAATAACATTACTATTTGGCAATAGGCAGATTAAAATATTCGCGTTACATATTATGCGAATTCTCATTGTACTTTCCATGACAATCGCGTCATTGCTATTAAAGCGATTCAAAGCCAACTCAATTTCTATTGCAGCGAACGGATGGACGACGAGAAAAATTGAGAGAGGAATAGAGGGAGATTTTTGCGAACGGCCGCGCGAGATTGATGAGGCGGTGCTCCAAAGCGACGAAATCGCGATCGCGCGCGATTCAATCTCGCGCGTCTGATTGTCTTTAAATAGAAAGCAATTAATAAAGGCTCGGCCAAGAGGACGCTCCAAGATGGCGAGATAGGCAAACAGAGGCAGCGGCTTTCCATCGCGACACTGTCCATTCTGTCAATTCAATTAGATGGAGAGAGAGCATCGGATTACTGACGATTACTTTTTCCGTTTTCAAGTATTTATCTTTCGATAGCTCTTGAAAACGCCAATAGGATGGCCTTTATGCCTCTATCGCATTTCGTCATGATTCTTTCATGTTTTGAATTTTTGTAATAAGTCAATAACAGATGTTAATAACAGATCAGAAGTCAGGAGTGAGTAAACAAGTCAGTAATGTGACATAAGATAATAACAAGTCAATAATTGGTGATTACGTGGAGATGGTCAAATTCTATTTCTTATGATTTATAACTTAGATTACGTTGTGATTGATTAGAGTTCTAGAAAATTAAAGATTCGTCATAGAAGAGTACAATCTAACTGATTGGTGAGAAACATAATAAGAAATCATAATAAGAAAACAAAATGGAAGTGTAATCACGTGAATTAGACAGTACAACTTATTGGAAAACAAATTGACGACAACTAATCTAACCAACTCATAGACGCATCTATGGTTTTTTAGGACTCTACGACTAATCGAAAAGCAATATATGTCTGCTATCGAGAGAACTAATTAGAATTGGCTAATCTAAAAATTGAATAACGTAATATGATTCTGGATGTAATTTTAAATGCAAGTTTAGATTTGTGACTTATAATTTTGACTTACCAGTGATATCCCAAACGACACGCGTTGTCTAAAAGTCTTCTTTGTGATAGGGTCTTTTAAGATAGGGTCCCGTCTTTAACAACTTATTGTAGAAAGCCCATTATTGTCGCGGGAATTTGTGTCCATCCGGATTGTTTAGCTCGCTCTCGAGAAAGCTTCTCAGAAAAGGAAAAGTCAAGAAGAAGACGATACGGTTTGTTTATTCTTTTATTTTGCTGCTGTCGCAATTTTCGTTATTATACAGAATATCGTGTCGCCCTTTTCTTTCAAATAGTAATCAGAAGTTGGGTAAAAAAATTTTCATCACTAAACCCTATTAGTACGATTTAAGGATGGCAATTTGGTTTTCTGAAGAACTATCAGAAGTAGGGCAAACATGAGTCAAGCCTGAATTTTAAATAGGAACATAGATCGAATTAGGGTATCGTTGAATAGGCTTTTTAAAAACAAAATTTTTGCTTAAACTTTTTCCGATATTACCGTACGATTTACGAGGAAAATAATGAAATCACAGATTATAACTTACTCACTTGTCTGGATATCAAAATATTGAGGATTTAAATTAAAATTTTTAAGATCAAACTCTAACGTGATAAATCAGATTATGGTATTTGTGTTTTTCAGAGGAACAGAAGTGGGAAGTGGGGACAACTGTACTAAATGTACTCACGCGAACGCCAATCGATAATCGTACAAATTCTCTGCCGTTCATTACATTGTAAAATTTGTCGCTTCCGAAAGTACCGGAATAATTCTCGAGCTTAAAAGGTCTGAAGAAGACGAAAGATCCGGTTCGCCTTTTAATTCCGCAACCATCATTCTATTTTCACTTAAATTGAATATCGCTCGCACCGGACGATTGAATTCAGACTCGGGTGACGTACCTAGCTCTACGTGTATCGTAAAAACGATTTCGTACTTTGGCAGTTCAATAGTCGTGCAAAAACTTCCTGTTAGTTGTTACAGGAAAGATCAATTATCTTTATAAGGGTGTCTCAAGATCCTATCCTCCGCTGCTGAGACTCCAAGATGAGTCCGGTCCACGTCGTCCCAGTGCTTGGACCAGAAAAAAAGTGTTCTCTTGCGGATTTTGCGCTCGGACAAATTCGACTTCGAGCCGGGGTTAAATCGGGGTAAATTCCAACATTAGGCGGTCACGCGCATTTAGCATCCAGAGTAACTTTGCACCAACCGGAGGCGGATCAATACTCGCGCGAACGCCGATCAATAATCCTGCGAAACCGGCGCGGCTCTCGTTACACCGGAAATCTCGGCGTCCCGGACGAGAAAAGGGACACCGACTTACGAATCGTGCCGTGCTCTTCCTTAGAGGAGGAAGAGCTTTGGCTCTTCGGCCGCTAAAATTCCACAGGAAGACTCCGCTCGCCTTCTAGTTTCGCGGAGCGTAGCCGACAATTACGGAGCCCGCCGCGCGCAAGCGCTGCGTTCTCTCGTTCGTTGAACCGTCCGTGAGAGAGAATCGTTCGAATGTGTGAGCATGCACGCGTGTGCGCGCGTATGTATGTGGCTGTGCGTCGGATGGAAAGGAAATATATAAATTAGAGAGTAGGAGAGAGAGAGAGAGAGAGAGAGAAAGGTGGGAGGGGAAAAAGGGAGAAAAAGGCAGAAAATGAGAACTAAAGACAAACAACAATCGCTGGATGCTACCATGCCGATATCAATGTTCTCCTCGGACTTCCGCAACCCTGCATATTTTCGAAGTAACGAATAGTAAAATGGCAGTCTAGCCTATACAGTATAGCCTGTACAGATCTTCACGGGACATTCTAAAGATATCTTATATAGAGAGAATATTTTAAGAACATCCCTAGAATGTCTCTCGGATAAAGTGTGCTATATTGAGAAAAACTAGCGTATCGACTTTTATTCAGGACGAAGCGTTATCCCTCATTTAGGTGCAAGTCGATCTCTGGCGAACGTCCGAGGGAAAATATCCTCCGGTTCTCTAAACATCGCGTCTATTGCGTCCTCCCTTTGGTACCGTCATTTGAGAAACCGGCTGCCGCTGAGTAGAGGAGCGCGGTAGCAACCCAAACAACATGAATGTTGAAAAGACGTCATAAAGATATCTTTTAGACAGCTTTTAGATATACCCGTATTCCACAGATCCAGCGATATTGCGACACTATTGCAAGTAATAAGTAGTTCCAGTAATATTGTAATAGCACTGAACATTTTGGATCCATACAACTAGATCATTCCAACAATATTGCAGCAACATTGCAATGTTCCAGCAATATTATAGTAACATTGAAAATGTTACAGCAATACTGCTGTATGAATCTGTGCTGTATGGGACTTATGTAGCACAGATCGTTCCAGCAATATTGCAGCAACATTTCACCTGTCCAGCAATATTACAATAACATTGAAGATGTTGTAGCGTATTGCTGCAACTTATATACAATACAACACAGAATTTGCAGCAATATTGCTGCAACTTCTGTACTGTAGGATGGCTTCTGTATTGTATGGGATACATTTCCAAAAGATATCTAAAAGACATCATAAAAATGTTTCTTGTCTTTTTATAGACGTGCGTGTTGTCTAGGAATCGATCGCGATCAGCAATCACGAAACTAGCTGGCTATCATAGTTTTTTCATATAAGGTTTCTCGATGAAGGCGGGACAGGGCCGAAAAGACCGTGGACGATTTTGGAGTTGACCTCGATGATGAAACATTTGTCGAGGTAGTATCCCGGGATTCGGCGAATCTCCTTTGGCGAGATCGCGCGGCGGGAATCAACAAGAAAACGGCATCGCTCGTTGTGTACGCTTGCGTCATCGACAACAGTCTGTCTTACGTCAGTCGATTTTGTTATTATTGTGCATCATTATCGCGCGCACTCCGTATGCATGTCACTTCGTCCTTCGTTTTCTCATGCTCGCCTTTGCGACATTCACTCTTGTTTGCATCCCCAAATCTGGAATTTAAAAAATTGTGAAGTTTGAAGTAAACTCTATCAGTAAAATATTTGCGAAATATTTGTAAAATATTTGCGAACCAACTGGGATTATATATTATTTAATTTGTCATTTATATATTGTTTGTATATCACTTTAGATTTTTCGTTTTGGGATTATTCGTATTCCATAAATGTTTAATCAAAAAATATATTTTATTTTAATTAAATTTAGCGCAAAAAAAATGCAAATATTTATCTTATTCTAGAGAAATGCTATAAATATTACGAAGAAATTTCTAGGAAATATACCCAAGCGGTACAACAAGTCATGATATAACATGATCAACGTGATGTTAAAATTAATCGTGACTGATGGAAAAACGTCTTTCAGTAATCATTTTGGAATCTTTAACGCTATTTAGACGCCATTTTTTAACGTCACAATGACTTGTGTTTTTGGGTATGCCTTGATATATTATTTACATAATAAAACATTTGCAATTATTTACATAATTTATGTACGATTTATTTTCGAATTATTTTCTTTCTGAATATAACCGCGTGATATTTATATCTTCTTTTTTATTTCGCGAATTATTTGATGAATGACTTTATTTAACTTAATATAGACAGATTCGTATTCGTAATTGTAATCTTCTTAATTATATACTTCGTTCTATTTGTTACTTAATTAATTGTAATGAGATCTAGGCTTACTAATAATAGTATTGCTGATGTTTTACTTTTTGACGCGTGTGACTCTAATTTGAATAGATAGTTTCATATTTATTATTTTATGTCCTGCATGTCAATAAAACTTATTATTATTATTATTATTATTATTATTATTATTGTTGCTCTCAGCGATTCACGTAGGGTCATTTTCTTTCACAATTAATGGATTTTACATGATGCATTCTGCAGCGATTTCTTCGCGAATAAACTTTGCTCTTCCTTGTCGATGCGCCGCGTGCATCACTGACATAATTAGACTACAGCGAATGAATGCATCGTTGCAGAATTGTCAATTTGCATTGTACAGACTGCAGACGGGAAGAATTTAGACTTGATACTTTATTCGATATTATATCGAAGAAGTGAAGCTCCACGCATTTAACGCGATTAAGAATAGAGAAGAGAAAATAGTACTGAAGATTATATCACACGAGGAGTTAAAGAATCAGTTTGAAACAAAGCGACAAATTTTTCGTTCAATTTATTTCATGTTTTCTCGAGTGACCTTTGTTTAACCGCTCGTTCGTCGTCTCGATTACGTCACTTGTGTCTCATCCTCTAACTCGGCAATCTTTTCCGTAACGAGACTCTCTCGAGCTTCAAGAATCTCGTTATTAGGACGAGACCGCGCGATTTGTTTTGTTTCGTCAAAATAGAAAGAAAAGAATCGCTCGTCGCCGCACTCGCCATTCGGCGAAATTAAAAATACCACGAAAAGAGGCGGAAGACCAGCTCGTGCCGTCGATGACTAATCCGCTATACCGGGTGTACGCTTTGAGAACCGCTGCGCTCCTCGGCGCGCGTTCCGTGTGCACCACTCCATTACGCATTCACCAACACACGTCCTCGGCGTGTCTTCCATCCGAGCCGGGTCCGAGCCGAGCCGAGAGGATCCGAGAGCGCGGCGTCGGCGTCGGCGTCGGCGTCGTCGATGACGCCGAGCGACGACGCCGACGCCGCCTCCGCTCACTCTGCTCCGAGCTGTCGAACGTGCCGCAACCACCTCGTCGTTCTCCACATCTCGTCGCCAACACAGTCCCCCACCGTCCTCTCCCGACACGATTCTCGTCATCATCATCGTCATCGTCGCGCCTCTCATCATCGATACTCGTCATTCTCTGAAAGGACGTCAGTTGCTTCCCTGACTCGTACGTTCTTCTTCCGCGCCGCAGACTGGGTTCCTCAGTTAGACAAGCTCTAACTCCGATCGTCTTCTTCACCTTGGTTCACTTCAAGTTTTTCCTTCGAACTCGACTTCGTCGGCTTTTCGACGATTTGTCGATCCCTCTCGGGATTCCCGGACGTCTCTCCGGGAACTCTTGGCTGCGCGGTCGGGTGAAAGTCTCCAGGGGTGAATCTCGTGCATTTTCCCCATTTTTCCCATGAGAGTGCCGGCGAGCCGGTAGACTTCCTCTTTTCTTCGGTCGGACGTGTCCTCTGGATCGCCTATCGCGAATGTTGTGCCCGAGCCACTCGTCGTCCCCCTCGCACGAGGACACGTCTGGTCCATCCACGATGGGGCTGTACCATCGGCATCTCGCGGGCCCTCGCGAACGGGACGACGGTGGTAACCGAAGTCGCGAGACAACTTAAGACGATCACCTCCCACTCTCCCACCTTCCCCCCTCCCCCCCGTCAACAGAGAGACCACGGGACTGCTCGAATCGCGAACCCCCGTCGCAGTCGAGGGGTACAAAGCTGGACCAAACTGGAGGAAGGAACGCGCGATTTCAAGGTAAAAGAGCTTCCCCCTCTTTACGATCCAAGGGGACCTACCATCAGGTTTGGGGGATCCCCGAGAGTAACTCTCGCACGCAGTGCTTGTCCTCGACGTGAGCGGAAGTGTTCCCTGTCGCCCTCTCCCCTTTCGACCCCCCTTTTGCTGCCGTACCGGTCGGCTTTGAATCAATAATCTCCGGCCAAGATTATATGTAGGTTCCTCCGCGGTATCTTGTATTCGAGAACGACAAGAAAAAAAATGTATCGAACGGATTATGAGGTAACGGGGTAGGGACTCGCTAGGTTCCAGGAAATTGATTTTTCTTCCCGCATCGATGTCCTCTTCCTGT